ATTAAGAGGATACTGGATATTAAAAAAATGGAAATTATTTTTCCACGTTAGAATCTTTAAAATAGTCCAAAAGGAATCTAATTCACCAAGAAATATAGTTATAGGAACCAATTAATGACAATATAAATGTGAAATTATGAGAAATACCCACAATTTATTTGGCCTATTTTATTTGATCCTGATTATAATAAATCTATTTTCTTGGTATAACAATAATTTCTCTTATTTCATCTAAAAAGTCGCTTTGATTGAATGGACATTGGTATCATTAGATGAATCAGGTTGATTTCTGTAATAGTTTTATCGAACTAAAAGTCAACTTAGCATGCATAAGAGGATGTTTAATCTATTAAAAATGGAGTTAAAGTATGATTAAACTCATGCATTTAAAAGAAACAATTTTGATTTAGATTAATGTGCAAAGTGTTAATAAATCAATCTCACTTTTTAATTCTAGATTATTAGTAGTGCTTGAATTAGAAAAGGTAACTTCTACTTATTTTTCAGGAATCTTTTTACAAAAATTACTCGTGCATTCAGAGCCCTTCTCAATTTAACAAAAAGAATTGCAGGCATCTTAATCTAATTTATTACCATCATCACACTATTCATATCCTGCTTTAATGTGATCTCCACATTAAGTTACACATTTTCTTATATTGTAATCAGCATATAATCCTAACTAATTATGACACCTTTGACATTTATCAATTTTACATTATGTACACTTATTCGGGGACCTTTCACAATCCTCGCATTACTCAGAGCATTGATGACACTCATTATCATGTAAAAAATAACCCTTTTGATATGAAGAACATTTAATATCGCCCTTGATATTAATACAATTTGCACAATTCACATGGCAAAGGAAACAAAAACTCTTTTGTTCTACTACTATACATTAAAAGCCAATATCTATAATACACTGAGTGCAACCATCTCTTGAGTTATCATTTCCATTATCACACATTTCAGATTCAAGAACTCTCCCATCGCCACATGTTCTAACACAAATCTAGTTTTAAATATTGTATCCTTCTACACACTAGATGCATTAACCTTATCTACAAACTTAACAGAGCGATTCACATTCGATTAGCATTAATCACATCCATCATTAGCCTATTCATTTCCATCATCACACTATTCATTACTAGCTTTAATGTGATCTCCGCACTTTGTAAAGCATATATTTTCATGTTCATCATAATATAATCCTTTTTCTTCATTACATTATTTCTTATCACTGCATTTTCCTATTTATTAATCATAAAAGTAGATTTATAGACATGAAAAGCATTTCCATAATGACAATTACTGCATATTTCTTGACATTAAAATTAACAATTATGACAACCATCATAAATAATATTGTTTCCATCATCACATGTTTCTGAAAGTGTTATGAGTTGATCACCACAAATAGAATTACATGAATTATTAATTAGATCTAATTAATATCCTATTTAGCAATTAATGCAAATTCCTAATTTACAAAACTAGCAATTAGTAGGGCAGTTCTATTTACAATTTGCGCAGGTTCCTAAGTTATTTTAAACTTGAGTATCACATTCCTCATTTTTAGCTAAAATACCATCTCCACAAATTTGAATACAGGCCTATTCTAATTTATCTTTTAGGATAAGTTAACATTATAAAATTGTGCATGATACACACATTTATTAACATTCAATTTCACTTTCAAAACAATTTGCGTAGATAATAGTATTTTCTTTCTATTTCAAATAGTGAATCATACAATGGCCTTTTTCATCAAAATAGTCAATTTATTGATCAATTTAAAGTGAGTTTTAAAAATATGTAAAATATATTTATTTGATTTACTCCATATTTTAAATGCTCTATAATCCAAATGATTAGAGGCTAATGGTTGAGAGAAAACTATTTTATTAAAAGAATAATTATGTTTGAGTAATTACTGAAGCTAAATTCTGATAGTCATATTAATTTTATAGATAGTTCATATGGAAAAGTTTCTTATCATCTAGTTAATCAATTTAAATGCACCTTTATTCTTTCAATAAATAGCCTTGTAAACATTGCAAACATTTACCTAGATAACAATGTACACATGAATGTTGACAGTTATAATAACATTAATGTCATCCATCCCCAAACGTCAAATTGCCATCGTCACATTCTTCATCAGGTGTCACAATCTAATCTCCACAAACAGTGAAACATTGTTTATCTCTTAATTCATATCCAATTCTACATTACAAACATCCATTTCCTCCAGAAAAATCACATATAAGACAGGATTCTCTACATTCACATCTATGTAATTTTTGGTTTAATTTATAGATGTCAACACAATGGAGACATCTATTATTTAAACAATTATCACATATTTGTAGACTTTAGCATTTAAACCTGCAATTTGAAGAACAACCATCATTATCATCATTCAAATTAGCATCATCACACTATTCATAAATCTCAACATCAGGAGCATTAGCGATTACACCATCCCCACATATATTTGTACAATAATTAGATACTGATTTTAAACCCTCTCTGCACATTAAACAATACCCTGAATCATAGTCACATTCTAAACAATCTGGGCGACAATAGAATTAACAATTTTTACATATACTACTACATTGCTCTTAACAAACGTATAGATCAGTGGAAAGATTCAAATACCAACCTGGAGTCATACATTCATAGCATATCCCTCGTATGCATTTTGTGCATTGAGGTTAGCCCTCCAATTTGCACTCGTAACAACCATCATTTTTTTCTATATTAGCGTCATCACATTCTTCAGCTTAAGTAATTATCCCATCGCCACAAATACATTATGTATTACTCGGATTACAGGATCACACAAAGAGTCGGTAGGACATGCAAAAAATTACTTAATACTTGTTACGTAATATTAGTTGATAGGCATTTGACAGCTAGTATCTAGGTTATTCAACATGAATCCTTAAATACACTCTTAACAGTCACTTTATGATGAGCATCTTCTACAAAATTAAACACATTCTAAACAAGTATCCTATTATTCATAATAGCCATCTCGACAAATGCATTAATTATTTATTAACATTCGAAACTTTAACAGATCGCATTACGTGCAAACCATCTCATTTATACACTTATCGCATTTTTAAGAGCACTAAATGCATTCTTATTGATTTTTATTATAAAAATAATTAGGAGGACAAATACAACCCATAATGGGATTAACAAATCCATTCTTACATGTTAAACAATTTTATAAGGAGGTGCAAGTTTCACAAGTTGATGGACAACATAAACATTCATTTTATTACCAATCATAGTATTCATTTAATTAAGAACATGTTTTCAATACATTTGTGGTTGAGTCTTAGCAGTCGATTTCATTTATGCAAGCTTAACATTCTGGTCGACAATAATGAATAGTAGTATAAAATTGATATAATCCACAATAAGCTTCAATAGGCTCATTACTTAATCCTTAACATTCCCAATCAATTTTGAGTGTACTTTAAGAATGTTAATAATTCTTGAATATTTTTTTTTAAGCGCTAGATTTTGTCACTTCATAAATACTATCATCAAGATAAAGAATAAATTTTCCATCCTCCTTGAATTGAGGACCAAAAACAAAAATAAAAGCAATTTTATTTTGATAGGTAATAACTCTTATTACATTAAGAACATTTTAATTTCTCAGAACATGTTGTACACTTTGCGGGACAATATCCAGACAGAATTTCCACATATTTGATACCCCAACATGCATTTATATCTCTAAAAATAAAGACATATTTACGTATAATGGCCTATTAATTTAAATGTAAAATAATTCGATAAATTTGCATACAAATATAAATTATAGTATTAGGTACTTTAATAAGCAAATGCATTTTAATTGTAATCAGACCTTGAAACTATTCCATATATGATAAAATTATCTGCTTGTATGACTGTATTATTTTTATATATTTTTGCAAGGTAGGTGTTATTAATATGTAATTCAATCCTACTTTCAGGTGGCATTTCATTAAATAAGATTAATTGTAAGTAAATTAAAGTCAAGTTATAATGATTTGTAAAGTTTACAATTCTGTAAATACCTTAATTTAGCTGAAATAATCCGAAAATATAATTAGATTCATATTAGAAATTTTTTGGTAATGGAAGGGTAATGTGATTAAAATCATACAACATTTACCAATTATATTGTTCAGTAGTTTTAGATTCTTATATTAGAAGCTAATAGTAAGTAGTTCCTAAATTATACAAAATAATTTACTTTTAAAGTATTCACAATAACCATTTTGATGCAATAATTAATCAAAAGGACAAATTTATTTGCATCCCTAATATTTAACAAAATATGGAGATTTCGGTGGACATTTATTTTAACAAGCTTTATCAGATTGAATGCTGCTCTCAAAACATTAAGTACATTAAGATAATAAACTTCCCCAGCATCTTTTACAATTTGGATGACAGATAAGAGCTGAATAAATGAAATTCTTTAATGATACACTTCCCATAAGAGTAGATGCACGAAATGAATGAATTCCATTTATTGAAGTTGAATTAATGGTAAAATTTACAGTTTAAATTAATGCAGATTAAGAATCACAAATCCACTCGAAATTACTGGTTGTTAAATCGAAGCATTGTAAATCCAAGTGTAATTTTAATCATTTATGGAATAAGTCAAACTCTCAGATTCATTCCAAATATTAAATAATATGAGATCGACGGTTAAAAAAAAATATTAATCATAGAGTTCGACTTATTTATACAAACTAATTCTTTTGCACAAAGCCATCAGAATATAAATAACACTTTTCAGTATCACAAAAGTTAAAAGTTTTTCTTTTTGTTAGATATGAAGC